CGCGTGGTGCAGTGGGTGCCCGTGCGCGCCGTGTATGTGTGTTGCTTGCGCAGTGTTGCATGTTATGGGTGCATGTACAACGAGCGTACATCCGCGTATCGGTATCGTATGGTATCGTATGGTAACTTCTACGTTGTCGTGCGCCACGTTTAATTTCCAGTCACTTGGGCAACTAACTGTCTACGCACTAAGCTACTGCCACACTGTCGACTAGCAAGCAAATCAGCACCGCATGCGGCTAGCATGATACGGGCAAAGCTTTTGAGGGAAAGAAAATAAACACTGTGGGCGCCACCGCTGGCATTGTTTCGCTGCGCGCGGTCCTCGGCGTCATTGTCGTGGTTACGAGCAGCGTCAACGTTGTCGTCGACGTCGTTGACAGTCTTTTCATCGCCGCATTCGTCAGAGTTATACCATCGCTGACGCTGTCACTATCATTGCCTACACTGACGCTCATTTATAGGTCCCAAGATACTCAAGATCTTTCGCGACAAGGTCAGCATGCATTCAACGAAGATTTAACTTGTCATATAACTATAACTATATCTATAACTATAACTATAACTATAACTATAACTATAACTATAACTATAACTATAACTATAACTATAACTGATAAACTATAAAACTATAACTATAACTATAACTATAACTATAACCATATAACTATAACTATAACGATAACTATAACCATATATAACTATATGTCCTTTTCCTATTCGCAATACTCCAGTATTCCTCGTCCCCGCGGATATCCCTTCCTCGTCATACATTCCGCGGATATCCCTTCCCTCCTCCTCCTATCCTTTCCTCGCCCCATCTCTTACCTATACAACTCGATCGGGGAAAAAAATACGCAGGTGAAAAAAAAGTGCTGATAAAAATGAGCGGATGTGCAAGCCGGTTAGTGTCATTGCTTTAACTGCTCACTCACGCGCGAGAAACGCGGAACCCCGGGAAACGCTGGAGCATCGGCGATGGAGCGAGGCAGAGGTTGAGGAGAACAATGTAGCCACACGACACGGCTGATTACTATACGGGCCGCTAGGTGGTGATGGTTTAGACGAGTGGATGAGCGCGGAAGGTTGGCGTCGGTTGCTCAGGGTCAGCTGTTATAGCGGGAATAACTACTAAATGGTAGCTAGTAGCTGTTATAGCGGGAATAACTACTAAAAATGGGGGGTAGCTTAGTAGTTGTATTTATAGCGGGAATAACTACTAAAATGGTAGCTAGTAGTTGTTATAGCGGGAATAACTGCTAAAATGGTAGCTAGTAGTTGTTATAGCGGGAGTAGCTGTTACAGCGGGAGTAGCTGTTATAGCGGATGTAGCTGTTATAGCTGATGTAGCTGTTATAGCGGATGCAGCTAACGTATGCTGGGCTATCACAGAACAAACATAAATAGAGTTTAGTAATAATAATCACGTTCATAAGCTTCTCGTGAAAGAATTTAACGGCCACCATGGTGTTGCGCTGTGTGTGGCACGCACCTAGCGAACACATTATCCGCCACAACTTATATTTGATGTTCGTTTCGTGGCCAGGTGAAAACAAAATGATACTACTATAATGGTCGGTCGAAATAATGCGACACGACGCCCTTGGTGTGAGGGTAATTTTTTAAGGTTCAGTTGCAATTACTTAGTGCAATTCTATCTGTCCTGTCTGCGAGTGCATATATATATAAATATATATATATATATATATATATATAATATACGTATATATATATTATCTTTACGATGCGTTGAATCGTTGATGGCCCAAAGCTGTTTACAAAAAAATAATGAGCATTCGGCGCAGGTTTAGTTATGTCATCAGTATTTATGATCGTTTTAGTATTCTCCGATACTCTCCGATAGCTCAACAATTATTGACAGACATCAGCGTGTTTGCGGGAAAATATTGACATGTTGCAGGAAACGCTTGCTGAGTATTAATATTGATCAAGCTAGAATTTCCTGTTGTTCACGCGGCGGACTGTTGTAGGTTATAAACCTATATCTGGTCAGACAAACAATCGCGCTGCTGGGTTCTCTTTCGCCTTCCTCCCTCTCTATTTGTCCCCTCTCTCTCTCTCTCTCTCTCTCTCTCTTTCTTTTTCTTCCATTCTCTCTTTCCTCCTTCTTTCTCTCTGTGTCTCTCCCTCTTTTTTCTCTCGCGCGCCCTTTCGCATTATTCTTCCCTCGTGTTCTCTCCAACGCTCTCTCTCTCTCTCTCTCTCTCTTCCCACTCTCTCCACTCTCACTGGGTGTGTTCGCGTGTGTGTGTATGTACGTGGGTGTGTGTTTGTGTGTGTGTGTGTGTAGTTGTGTTGTGTGTGTGTGTGTGGTGCTGTTCCGCGTGTGGTATCGTACGTGTGTGTGTAGTGTGTGTGTGTGTGTGTGTGTGTCGTGTGTGTGTGTGTGTGTGTGTGTGTGTGTCTGTCTGTCTGTTCGTCTGTCTTTCTGACTAGCTGTATGCCTGTCCGTGTGGGGTAATTTGCGGGCGTCTGTTGCGTGGTACGGTTCTCGCACTTGGCTCTCGCCTATCGTGCTTTGCTACCCAATGCCGCGCCGCACTATATATGCGGAATCATTGATATTCTCTCGCTAGCTCGCTATGTCCCTCTTCGCTTTCATTCTTCTCATTTCTTCTCCCTTTCGTTCTCGCTCTCTCCCCTAATCTCTCTCTCTTCTCTCTCCTGCTCTCTCTCTCTCTCTCTCTATCTATCTCGGTCTCTTTTTTGCTCGCTTTGTGTACGAGGTCTATCACACTTCTCTCCCTTTATTACTTTCTCGCTCCGTCGCTCTTCTTCACACGTCTCTCTACACATGCAATCGTGCCTCACACACACACACACACACACCACACACACACCACACACACCACACACACACACGCACACATACGCCACGCACGCACCACACACACACACACACATACACACACACAGCGCCACGCACACACCACACACACAGCCACACAGCACAATCATCTATACACACACCAACACAACACACACACACCACCACAACCCAGCACACCACCCAACACACACACCACACACCAGCACAGCGCACACACACACAGCACACACCACACACACACACACACACACACACGGCACGCACACAACACACACACACCACACACTCACCAGCACGCACGCACGCACGCACCACCACAACAACACAACACCACACACAACACACACACACACACACGGCCACACACCCCACACACACACACACGACACACACATCACACACACACACACACACACACACACACCATTAACACACCACACACACAAGACACACACACACACACACAACAGCACGCACACACGCTACGACGCAACACGCACAGCACGCCACACGCGCACGCACACGCACACGCACACGGCACACGCACGCACACACACACACACACACCACACCACACCACACACACACACCACACACACACACCACACAACCACACACAACACACCACCACCCACACACCACACACCACACACGCACACACACACACCACACGACACACACACACACACACACACACACACACCACAGCACCACACACACACACACACCACAGCGACTCTCCGAGTTAGCAACAGTCATTAGCCGGACGAATAGAGAGATTAGGCTAGTCTCGCCCCTCAGCGAACTATCAAAGCGCCGCAGGAAGCCCGCTTCGGGCAAATGCGTCAAAACCATAGACTCGTGTTGTCGCACAGCGCCGCTCTTTTTACGTAAAGCACGGTGCGCCGGAAAGAGGTGTATTAGCCGCCCGCGAGCTCTGTGTGTCGGATAAGGTAAGGACCGCCCCGGTGCGATTAGCACCAACAAACATGACGACGCAAGTGGCATTCCTTTTACGCGGATGACATCGTATGATTACGGCGCGCACGAGAGAGCAGAAAGAGGGCGAGAGGGAGAAGCACGGGCGGCGGATGCATAGAGCATGAGAGAGGAGCCCGGGGCGAGAGAGAGAGAGAGAGCGGAGAGCGAGAGAGATAAGAGACAGAGAAAGGCGTGTGTGTGGCGGATTGTGTGTGGTGTGTGTGTTGTGCCAATGTGTGGTGTGCGTGCGTGCGTGCCGTGGCTGCGTGTGGTGCTGCTAGTGCGAGCGCCCGTGTGTGTGTTTAGGGGGTATGTGAATGCCTGTGTGAATGTGCCTAGCTTCCAGCTTATATCCTAGTCAAAAACTCATATACGAAAGCAATTCGAACCCCGCAGAAAGCGCATTCATTTTGTGTCAATGTGTGTCGTTTTGTTGCATAAATGTCTATTTAAATCGGAAAAACGTGTGCTCAATGGGAATATTCCAGGTATCGCCCGTGTTCCTATATACTTCAGCATACGCTAGTTGCGTATATATGATCTACACGTGCGAAGATATATATCATCAAGTGAAAATAATAAGCTGAATAATATAAATGGCAAGCCCAACATTATACCGTTGCCATGTAGTGTAGTATAGAGGGTATATTACGAATCATGTTCTAGAGAACAGTGCTTACTGACACTAAAAGAGTATTGATGTTGTCGCTATCCTTTGTGGCGCAGGCCATTCCGAATTGCAGTAAAATATAGTGTCAATACATTAAAAAAATCCTGCAGGGAATTCGGCAGTTCCGGTTACCTGGTGTATGTGTAAACATCCGCGATTGATGGTAAACCGAAGCAATTTTGTGAATATATAAAAGCCTTGATACAGCCACCCTGTGTGGAGAGAGAACTAGAGACCTGCGTGGAGAGAGAGCTCGAGCACACGCGGCCGGAGAAAGTTCGTCGTCCGAGTTCTTTATATAATCGTCACGCCTTCGCGACAATGCATTTCTACGCGCTGTCATCGCTGCTGTTGGTTTCTGTGACGTTGTCGTTGGCGCTGCCCGCCGCGGAAGAGGTAGACCTGGCACCATACGTGGGTAAGGATTTTTATAGTCTAGTTCAATCTAATGTTAATTCATTTGTTACTGGAAATGGAGGTCTATAATATGGTAACTTAAGCTTGCTTCGATTGTAGATTTTACATTTGTAGATTGTACATTAATTTACATTTGACTCACGGATCTATTTTTAGCACCATTCCAATGTTGGTATCTTTTGGTTTAAAATTCAATAAGATGTTAAACGCTGTTAAGATTCTATGCGTGTATGTTGAAGACGTTCGTATTTGACGTTTATACAAGCTATTTCATATTTTTCACCGAACGAAATACCTTCATTCGGGGGTTTAAATGAATTAAATTCCTTCTTTACACGAGCAGCGTTATTGAAAATAATTTAAGCATTTTAAAACCTTATATTTTTCGATTACTTTGGATATCATCACAAAGACGTAATGCAGAACTCGGTTTCGGAGAATAGAGAAGGCACATTTCCATGTAGTCTATGCGCTAATTTGCTATGCCCGTTGATAGGAACCGTTATAGCTATATAATATAAAAATTAAATAATTCTTATAGTTGCAGAGCGAATACAAGTGATTTCACCAGGAGTCTCAATCTATATTAGAAAGATATCTATCTATATTAGAAAGATAGTATCTATCTATATTAGATAGATAGTATCTATCTATCTATAGATACTATCTTTCTAATAGTATCCATATATATTAGATAGATAGTATCTATCTATCTATAGATACTATCTTTCTAATAGTATCTATCTATATTAGATAGATAGTATCCATATATATTAGATATATAAATATATATATATATACATAGATAGATAGATAGATAGATATTACACATAGATAGTCTATATTATGACACGTACACCTGATTTCACATCTCCCGCTTGCAGATCATTTACGTGACAAAAGGGCGACGGGTGGAGACTGGGCGAAGAATCTAGCACAGGCCGTCTGTACTGCTCTCAACCCTAGCGGCTGGATGTTCGCTGTCAGCAGGGATTGCAAGAACAATAAGCCAACCTGTGCTGCCATCTGTGCAAGCGCGGCTCTGCACAACCAAGATAACCAGACAAAGAGTATGTGACGAAACATTTATAAACTGAGCATATTTGGTCCAAAACTCGTATACCTTCTGATGATCACCACACACGTGCGCGCACACACACACACGCGCGCACACACTCACACACACGCACACGCACGCACACACGCACACACGCACACACACACACACACACACACACACA